TTTTGGTTATTATAAAGTCAAATCTATCTTTTCCTTTATAATTTCTTCTTCTGGTGTCATATTGAGAAAGAGCAACCCTCTCCACCCAACAACACGTAAATATTCACCTATATGTTTTTTTTATTACTTTTGTGGCTTCCTTTTATTAATCTACATTTCTTTTCATCAAAGTTATACACGTGCACAGTTTAATTAGTCAACAAGGTTTGCTAAGAAAAACAGTCCTAGGGCCTCCTAATCTCATTTACTCAGAGGCAGCTACTTTCAACTCAGCTGATTTTTTGGTATTTGTCTTTGCATCTCTAAATAAAATACTTGTATTGCTACTTCTTGATTGTTAGGTTTTAGGCACTAGCTATTGGTTTTCTTACTTTGGAAGATGAGGATTCAACTAAACAAATAAAACTCATTCGGGCCCCACCCCCACTAAACACACACTTGCAACTTCCCTTCCTCTCAATATACTCAGATTGTAATTTTGTTAGATCAATATTAAGTAAACTATTATTAGCATAATGTGATTTGTTTTCCCTCATTCTTGTAACCAGCAGATTTTCCCGTCTCAGCCAACCCTTCAGAAGATTGCAATCCTGGCCTATGTAATGAACTTTCCAGAGTCCCAAGCCAGAAACCCCCCAGCTAAGCCACTCTCAAATTCCTGACCAATAGAAACGTTATAGTTGTTATGAGCCATTAATTTGGGGGCTAACTAATTACACAGCAATAGATAACCAGTAACAATGCATAACTTTTTGTTTTCCCCCAAATTAATAATTGTTTACTTCTCATTTTGGTGAAGAAAAACTGTGTGGGAGATTTGGGGTTTTGCATATCCAGAACAATTTTTATTCTACCCTCACGCTTGTGAATGGGTATAGAATTATAGGCTGGACATAATTTCTTTCAGAATTTCAAAGGCACTGTTTCACTGCCTTCTAATTTCCTAGTGCTGCTGTTGTGAAGTCTAAAGTCACTCTTGATTCTTATCTTTTGTATGTGACCTGTTTTATTTTTTCTCCTCTTTAGGCAAGTTTATAGGATCATACGTTTGTCTCTGGTGTAAAATTTCATGATGATGTGCCTTGTGGGCCTACTTTTATCCACTGTGCTGGGTATTCACAGGCCTCTTTCAATCTGGCAATTTATAACCTTTAGTTACGGGGGTAAAAAAAGATTGTTGATTTCTTCTCCTCCATTTTCTCTATTTCTTATTTCTGTGCTTTTTATAATTCCAATAGTGACCCTACTCGGTTGGTCATCTAATTTCTCTCTTACATTTCAATGTTTCCTAATTTTATCTTCTTCTAATACTGCTATTTTTTCATTTCTGCTGTCATATTTTTAATTTCCAAGAGTTCTTCTTACTTCTTCAGATTTTTTCTTTTAAATTGTATCCTATTTTTATTTCATGGATGCCATTATCTCCCTGAGGATCTTAATGATAGCTCAAAAAAAGGTTTCTTCTCCCTGGATAGTCTCAGTTTCCCTCCGAGACGCTTTCTACTGTTTGTTTTGGTCTCTGTTTTTCATACTAAATGCTACGCTTTCTACTGTTTGTTTTGGTCTCTGTTTTTCATACTAAATGCTTTCTCCTGGGATGTATGGTAATTCCTGGTTGCCTCCTCACATACATGACTGGGGGACAAAAAAGCTGATTAAAACCTCTGAGCACATGGAT